ATAATGTTAAAGTTTTGAGGGCATGTGATTAAGACTTAAAGAATCAAAATATATTAGATTCATTAATTATTTGATTAATTAAGTGTATAATTAGAATTATGATCCAATTAAAAGTGTTTTAATGTTATTCAAATAATTATTTTTTAATAAAATAGTATATTTAATTGAATAATATTTACTTCAATTATCAAATTTTAAGCATACCTATAGTAAATTAGTAATTATATATGATAAATTGATGAACATTAGTACATTATTTAATTAAATGATAGATATTTAATTAACCTATGGCAAATTCAAAAACTTCATTTTCAATCTAGTAATTATAATATTATATAATACTTGTATTTTTGGATAATAAAGTTCACTAAAATTTAATTCCGAAATTAATTCCACACTATATTTTGATGTAAAATTAATTATATATATATTTTCCAAGGATCTATGACTGTGATTAGACACAAATGAACGAGTAATGAAAATTGAAAACTACTAAACGGTCATTCTCTTAATTTTTCAAGGGTGTATTTATAAAATTTAAGGCTTCTTTATCATTTTCTAAATTAATAAGGGGGTAACTAAAATTTATAGGATACCAGGTAAGGAAATAGAACTGCATTCATTTTCTGATTCGGATTCCAAAATTTAAGGTACCAGAACTGCTCACTCCTACACAAAGTGGTCCAACGCAGCTTGAATTCAAGAGAAATTTCTTGTCCGTGTAACCCAAGGAAATAGTAGGCACCCAAGTCAAAACCAACAGTCAAGGATGAATAATCCATAACTACCGGCCCCAACGTCAAAAGCCATTGTGCACCCAAAACCAACTTGCTACCCCCAGAGGAAATACAAACAAATCTACCAAAAAGTATGATCAGTCAATTGCAAAGGAACATTACGACACTGATACGAACAAATCTAAGAATTTTAAAAGAGGAAAGAACAGTAGACTTGTTGGCTATTGAGGAACCAACGCCTCCCAAATAACTCTAAGTGAGTCTTATAACAAATGATCGTCCATTTATTGAAACTTCTGAATAATTTATACAACTCAAATGATAACAACTCTAGAAAAATAAGGAAACAAACAACAAAATAGCAGACTAGCAACTACAATTTTACATCCTAGCAGCCAAGTAAATAAAAATAACAAATTAACCAAAAACTTACGAAACAAATAACCAACCACCTGAAAAGAACTTAATATAATAGCCACTACTTAAATGGTTGTAACAGACACACACGGAACAAGTCAGAACGTCAACATTTCCAATAATAACTGAAAAATTTGGTGAAGCCATCACAGGAAGACCAAATGATAACCATAATCCTGCAGAAAATTAGAGTTGCACACACCTTTAAATCTAATCGTACTGGGATTGCAATGTCAAAATTATGCATGAAAAGTTATAGCACCATGCTCATATTCAGTCTCACCCAGTAGTTCTTGCTCGACAATAGGGTCTTCAGAAACTTGATTCTCATCATCCATTAACAAAAGAAAAAATTTAGCTGGCAACGATGACCTAGTTTATACCTTCATCACAATAAAACACAAGCCCTTTTCGCAACGATCCTGAATCAGTGCTGGTGTCAATCGTTTTACCGACAAAGATGGAGGTTTGTAGAATTATTGGTATCCAATCAGTAGATGCCAAAGAGTTGGCAAAAGTGGCGGAAGGGTGGCAGAAAAGTGGATGGTGGTTAAAATATCCCAACGACGATTTCCAGGAGGTTGTAGAGATTTACGCAAAGCCTGTGCTTGTCTTCCTAAGACGTGCTATTCCCATGGCACTTTGCAATGGCCTGGGAAGAAAAGAACAAACTCTCGTTGAAGGTCTGCTTTTAACCCTACATAAAAACAACTCAACAAACAATGGATCCAAGAGGCCAGACATGGCAACCCAGATTTTGCCCGGGGGGCTCCGCGATAGTTTGTCAAACAATTAGTGAAAACTTAAAAAAAAAATACTAAACCTTAAGTAAAAAAATAATACCAATCAATATCTGAAAGAAAATAATACATACTTTACTACTTGAATAAATCTTTGAGAATCAAAACCTTGAGCAATTATGTGAAAATAATATCCAATTCACAAGAAAATTTTTACTGGAAAAACTCTTCAATTAAAGAGAGCCAAGGACATATGAATTAACGATCTACTTAAATCTAGTATAATAAAAGAGTTTATAACAATCAATCCACCAAAAATATTGTACACAATTTCTTATTTCTCCTCTTTTCTTTTTTTTTTTTTTTTTTTGTTTAAGATATAATTAAATTTTCATGAATTTGATCAGGCCTAGCCTAAGCAAAAGTTAACCAAACTTAAATTAAGTCAACTGTCTTGACTTTTAATATGAATAATAAAAAAGGAAAAATTTCTTAGATAAAATAGATAATAACTCAAACTACTTTAATAATTTTGAGCGTAAACGTGACGTTGGAAATGTAAGAAAGTGGTAGGTGAAGGGTGAAGAATAACGTTCAGTAAAATATAGTCAAGGTTTAATTGAGAAAGTAGGAACATTCTTTGACACAAAAACACAAACAAACTCACAAGATCCATGCTTTTTTCCATCAAATTAGAATAAAAAATCTCAAAAAAATAAGCATGATTCAACCCTAAAATAAACTAAAATAAAATGAGTAATACACATACCTAAAACTGATAAAACAGAAAACGAAGCTAATTGTGGCACCTTGATTAGTGAAAGCTTTAACAATTAGTCTTAAAAGTTTAAGAACAAACAACATAGAGAAAGTGAAAGAGAGAATGAGAGAATAAAGACTTTTGAGGATAAAATCATAAAAAACAGGTGGACATAAAGAGGGTGAAAGAGTTTTAAAACTTTATATAAGTAAGTATAGAATATTATATATTATTATATATATATATATAGAGTAAGTTTTTTATGAGCTTGAATATATGTATAATATTTTTCATTTTTTTAAAATCCATGATAGACCAAGATATATACATTAATAGATTTTTTTTATGTGCCTATATAAATAAATTTTTTTTTTTTAAATGTGAGGATAGTCCAAGGGGCTGGGTCCGCCCCTGCAGACACCTAATTGGATAGTTCTTCAAATCTAGACTGATATTCCGCAATTGTTCCGGTTTATGATAATTTCGCCACAAAATCAGAAGGTCCGAACCGAAGTTTTAAAGCCTCCAGTAAATTCTGTCAAGTGCCCAACTATCCATTATTGTGTTGTGTAACCATCGATACCACGATAAGGCCAATCTACTTTATATGAGGGAGTAGAGCCTCCAAGAAGAAGAGATACGGAAGAGAGTTCTTTTAATCAAAGAACTCGCTCCCTTTTTCCTTCAATCCCATAAGTTTAAATAACCCTAATACATAAATTGTTGATTTACTAAAAAGCCCTTACACACATAATAATAAAAGAACACACAACTCAATATAAATATTTCTAAATAGCAGCTACCCCATAAAAATGTCTGTTAAAGACAACCAATCTTCCTACTTGCTGACAACATAATCTTTGGACCACCCAGGCAACTTTCAAATCCTCTTCGAAGGGCTCCTTTCGCTGCATATCTTGTTGCACATTCGTAACATTAACACTCCATCTGTATCACAAATTTCCCACGAAAATAAACTAACTAAAGGAGACTAAAAATGACCACCCATATTTCCCATTTATTATTTCTTGGATAATCTCCCTGAAATGCTCGAGGTAGGCCCAATTAATATTCATATTTCTGTAATATATGTCCCTTTAGTAGCAAAAACCTCTTCAGTTTCTTCTCATTACCTTCAATGAAAACACAATAAAGTACTAAAAATTATAAAAAAAAAAAATCAACGAAATAAAACAAAGAGACAATATATATTTTAAGCAACGAAGTGAAAATTAACAGCTAACCAATTAACTAATTAAGTTCACCCTTTTTTATGCCAAATGACACAAACCAAAAGTAGATATAATTATTATTGTAATACACCCATTGGGCCACTAGTAGTTCTAGCCCAGTTCTTTTTCCGTAGTGCTTCACTAGCAAGTAGATTTGATGCTCACTTCTCATTATTTATTAACTCTTATATCTTTTTTTTTCCAATAATTATAGTATTGGCATCAACTAAAATACAATAATAAGAGCCCATATGTTTTTTAATCTTTTACTTACACGTAAGGAACTCTTGCCTTACAATGTCAAGTTTGGACAAAACTGAAATTGCAACTTCACACAACATCATTTTCCCACACTTCCTCCTTATTATCGGCGGCGTTAAACCACCATTAACATTTGACAAAAAAAAAAAAAATTTGCTTTACGTACTACCAATCAGAATTTTTGTTGCTTTTCAAGTCCGAATGTATTTAATATTTAACCAAAAAAAAAAAAAAAAGTAAAATTGAATAGGATATCCTTTCATATTGATATGGGCTGCGACTGCGACTGCGACCGCGACCCTGCTATCAGAAATGTGAGGATCAAAAGCTACAGATGAGAAATCACGTGGGCCTTCAAAATATGAAATAGTTTCACTTTCAATGAATCCACTCTTCTACCTGACCTCATCCCTTAATTCTCTCTCATTTTCTATTAATCATACATTACAAAACAAACCATCTTTTGCTTCTACGTACCGAACCTTACCCACCCAACACTTCATCTACCACTCGATTAAATTACTTTCATTCATCCGACGGCTCTCTCATGATTCTACATTGACCTTAACCCACCTTCATTTTGTACACATTATTAAGATAAAGCAAGGTGAACGTGACGCAGTAAGATTCTTGACAGACCCATTACGTGTTCCCACGTGTAATACTGTCACCCAACACTCACGTTCTTCCTTCTCCTTAATATTTATCTCTCCCCTCTATCTCTTTCTCCTCATACTCTATAGTGGTTGGTCAGTAATCAGAGCACGATTCCGGACTATTACAAGACCCACTCTTGACCTTACACGTGTCACCTCTAAAACATCATTCGGGTATAAATTTTGGATCTACCTTAACAAAAGGCATCTTAGTTCTCGATTCTCGGTATCTCTAATCAGATCCTACTCCCCACTTGCTCCATCCAACGGCCCACATTCTCCCTCATTTCTCCATATATTTTTCTCCTCTCATTCGCCATAACTTCATACTCCTGCAAAAAAGAAAATCTACAAACAATAAAATCATGAACACGTTGGAATCTCCTCTTGAAGCTCTAGCCTTTAATTACGTCAGGTTCGGGATTTTCACTGTAGTGAACAATCTCTGGACGTGGGTCGCCGTAATAACCGCCGCCGTTAGCTTCTGGAGGATCAAAACGCAAGTGAAGCCGGCCCTGCAACCTCGTAATGATCGAAACAAAAGTGGGTCTCAACCGGTTCTTGAAATCTCACCGGATGAGTCGTGCGCGCGCGTTGAGCCTGCAGCTTCAGCTTCAGCTCCAGCTCCAGCTCCAGCTCCAGCTACAGCTACAGCCAGTCCTTCAGTTTGCGACGTTAAAGATGTGGACGGGGTGACGAAAGGAAAGTTTACTTTGTATTATTGTGAGGAGGAGAAGGAAGTTGAGGGTAAGATAACGACAGTTAAAGTGTGGCAGGATAATTTTAGCGACGGTGAGTGTGGAGAGTGGTGGGAGAGAATGACGAGAGTGAGAAGGGGTGAGATGGGATGGTACGTTTACCAGGATTTGACGGTGGTTAACGGCAACATTGTTAGGTTATGGGATGAGGGTAGGAGGAGAGAAAAGTAGTACAGCTCATGCTGTGTTGTTGGGTAGTTAGGGAATTAATGTGTTTAAACTTTAAACTTTTTGGATTAAGGTTGTTAATTGTATATATGTTGTTGGGTAGAACAACCGTTTAATGGAAAACGCAATGTTTAATGTTGATTGTTGCATATTCAGCTTTCTCTACCTTCATCTTTGATCTAATCAATATCCAAAACTTGTGCTATATATTTTATGTAATTTCTAGTTGGACATTTAACTTGTATTTTAGGACATTTTTAAGTTGCTTGTTAGTTAATTAGGTTAAAATATAATACAAAAAGCTCAAGTCAATTTGGTTTCCTTGAAAATACAAACTATATACAGTATGCATGTATATACGGAAAATTAGATTTAAGTTATAGAATAATTTTCTAGTGTTACATGACACGTAATATATTTATGTTTAGTAATTATTACATTTTAATTCATTTAAAGATTAGAATATACATAAATTCAGTTAACCATGATATTGGGTGTTACGGTAACACAAAGATATTCTTATATTTTTTCTATATATTTATGCGGATGAAATGTTAATTAAAAGAGCTAATATCATAATATATGTTGATGAATCAAAGATAACAGCTTCGCGACTCACTTAATCATAAAAAAAGGAAAAAAGAAAAAAAAAGTGTCCTATAACAATCCAGATGGTTGATGAAACACCCAAAAGGCAAATCCCACGATTTACAATATTTTATGGCCAATATGGTCAACTGTTTGTGTTTTTCGAAACAAATATTTGTTATATAATCACATCTTCTTCTTTTTTTCCTATAATCATTATATATACAGTAAAACTTCTATATAATCATAATATTGAGATTAACTAATTTTATTATTACGAAGAGATTATAACTTAATAGAGATATAATTACAAAAATTAAAATTATTATTTTGATTTTTTTCTTTTTTTTTTTATTACCAGTGGTGTTCGGGCCAGCTTACGTGCACCTCAACTAGTCTCCCGTCTCCAAATAAGACTTTCAAAACAAGGCAAGCCCCACAATTCGTGGCCAACTATATTAACAATCGTTCTTGTGATTCGAACCTGAAACTACAGGAGGAGCAAACCTTTTGGCCCTAAGCCTTTACCACTCAACCAATCCATTGTTGGTTTTTTATTTCTTATTTTATGTCATGTTTTAGTAACATAGTATTAGGATTTTAATTCATATTTTAGTAGTATCAAGATTTCAATTCAGCGTTTCAATTGTCTACTTTTAAAACAGATAGAAGATCGTGTCTTGAAACTAACAAAGATAAGTGTCATTGATAAAATTGTAAATATAGTTGATGCATGGTCAATTGATGTGAAGCCATAAACAATTGTCAATGGTTTTAAGCACTACAAAATTAGGACCCCCGATGTCAATGAATTGCAAGTTACAAATGAGGTGGATGAAGAGAATAAAAGAGTCATTACGAAATTGAGTTATCAGATTTGACAACTTTACTACACTAATCAACTGGATATTAATTTCTTCATCAATCATCCAAATGAGCAACAAATCATGTACACATTAACTAAAAAGAAATCATTGTTGTAATTAGAAAAAAAGAGAAAGTATATAATCCTGAGGATGATAATACGGAAATACAAACAGTTGGCTTTAACAAGAAGGTATCTATGCTAGTGAGTTATTACATACTCGCAAGTTAAAATATGTGGTAACAACTTTAAAGCATAAATCATTGGCTCAAACAATTTTAGATAATTATTTTATTTCATCTTAAACCTTTAATGTAACATAATATATATTTTTGTAATATACAAATAATTATTATTATGTGGAGACAACTTTTTTTAAGACAAAAATTGGAAAAATTATAACTTATTACAATGTAAAGTTTATTCTTATTTATTACTATCCTAAATTGGGACTAGAATTTTTTATGACTATAAAGAGTTTATTCTTATATATAGTATTATTATAAAAAAGTTTTACTATATTTCCATCTCAATGCCAATATATCTTGGACAAAGCGATATTGAAATTTGCAATTTAGTTTTCAAGTTTCAATTGTCCCTTTTTATTTATTTATTTATTTATAAAGGTATTCCCATCAATTTACACACATCTCAATTAATTCTTTAAGATCTTGAAATTACTGATCAGATAAAAATCCTAATAATTACCCTTATTAGTCTCTGGAGGGATAAATTTATAATGGGTTAGTTTACTGAAATAATTAACTTGAAGTGAGAGAGAGGGTATGTACAAAGACAAACCTAGCATCTGCGAAAGTATTGGTTTATTTAGTGATTATGAATTAGGAATTAAGGATACAGAGATTCTTTTGTGAGTAACAACAACCGAATAATATGAAGATTATTCTTGACTTATTTTATATCTTAATTAGCATTAATTTTAATCAATATTAGCTGTCTTTTTTCCATCAAATTAGAAAAAAATCTCAAAAAAATAAGCATGATTCAACCCTAAAATAAACTAAAATAAAATGAGTAATACACATACCTAAAATGATAAAACAGAAACGAAGCTAATTGTGGCACCTTGATTAGTGAAAGCTTTAACAATTTAAGCTTTAAAAGTTTTAAGACAACAACATAGAGAAAGTGAAAGAGAGAATGAGAGAATAAAGACTTTTGAGGATAAAATCATTAAAAACAGGTGGACATAAAGAAGGTGAAAAGAGTTTTAAACTTTAATATAATGTAAGTCTAGAATATATATATATATATATATATATATAGAGTAAGTTTTTATGAGCTTGAATATATGTATAATATTTTTCATTTTTTTTAAAATCCAAGATAGACCAAGAATATACATTAATAGATTTTTTTTATGTGCCTATATAAATAAATTTTTTTTTTAAATGTGAGGATAGTCCAAGGGGCTGGGTCCGCCCCGCAGACACCTATGGATAGTTCTTCAAATCTAGACTGATATTCCGCAATTGTTCCGGTTTATGATAATTTCGCCACAAAATCAGAAGGTCCGAACCGAAGTTTTAAAGCCTCCAGTAAATTCTGTCAAGTGCCCAACTATCCCTTATTGTGTAACCATCGATACCACGATAAGGCCAATCTACTCTATATGAGGGAGTAGAGCCTCAAGAAGAAGAATACGGAAGAGAGTTCTTTTAATCAAAGAAATCCGCTCCCATTTTCCTTCAATCCATAAGTTTAAATAACCCTAATCATAAATTGTTGATTTACTAAAAAGTCTTCCACAACTATAATAAAAAACACACAACTCAATATAAATATTTCAAATAGCAGCTACCCCAAAAAAATGTCTGTAAAGACAACCAATCTTCCTACTTGCTGACAACATAATCTTGGACCACCCAGGCAACTTTCAAATCCTCTTCGAAGGGCTCCTTTCGCTGCATATCTTTGCATTCGAACATTAACACTCCATCTGTATCACAATTTCCCACGAAAATAAACTAACTAAAGGAGACTAAAAATGACCACCCTATTTCCCATTATTATTTCTTGGATAATCTCCTGAAATGCTCGAGGTAGGCCCAATTAATATTCATATTTCTGTTATATGTCCTTTAGTAGCAAAAAACTCTTCAGTTCATCTATTACCTTCAATAAAACACAATAAAGTACTAAAAATTATAAAAAAAAAAAACACAAATAAAACAAAGAGACAATATATATTTTAGCAACGAAGTGAAAAATAACAGCTAACTAATTAAGTCACCCTTTTTATGCCAAATGACACAAGCCAAAAGAAAACATTCCGTAGTAGATATAGTCACTATTCAATACACCCATGGGCACTAGTAGTTTAGCCCGTTCTTTTTCCGTAGTGCTTCACTAGCAAGTAGATTTGATGCTCACTTTCTTATTTATTAACTTTATATCTTTTTTTTTCCAATAATATAGTATTGGCATCAACTAAATACAATAATAAGAGCCATATGTTTTTTAATCTTTTATTACACGTAAGGAAACTTGCCTTACAATGTCAAGTTTGGACAAAACTGAAATTGCAACTTCACACAACATCATTTTCCCACACTTCCTCTTATTTCGGCGGCGTTAAACCACCATTAACATTTGACAAAAAAAAAAAAATTTGCTTTACGTACTACCAATCAGAATTTTGTTGCTTTCGACTCCGAATGTATTAATATTTAACCAAAAAAAAAAAAAAAAAGTAAAATTGAATAGGATATCTTTCATATTGATATGGGCTGCGACTGCGACTGCGACCGCGACCCTGCTATCAGAAATGTGAGGATCAAAAGTACAGATGAGAAATCACGTGGGCCTTCAATTTGGGTCTTCAAAATGTTAAATAGTTCAATGAATCCACTCTTCTATCTTACCTCATCCTTAATTCTCTCTATTTCTATTAATCATACATTACAAAACAAACCATCTTTGCTTCTACGTACGAACCTTACCCACCCAACACTTCATCTACCACCGATTAAATTACTTTCATTCATCCGACGGCTCTCTCATGATTTACATTGACCTAACCCACCTTCATTTGTACAATTATAAGATAAAGCAAGGTAACGTGACGCAGAAGATTCTTGACAGACCCATTACGTGTTCCCACGTGTAATACTGTCACCAACACTCACGTTCCTCCTCTCTTAATATTTACTCTCCTCTATCCTCTCTCATACTATATAGTGGTTGGTCAGTAATCAGAGCACGATTCCGGACTATTACAAGACCCACTCTTGACCTTACACGTGTAACCTCTAAAACATCATTCGGGTATAAATTTTGGATCTACCTTAACAAAAGGCATCTTAGTTCTCCGATTCTCGGTATCTTAATCAGATCCTACTCCCCACTTGCTCCATCCAACGGCCCACATTCTCCCTCATTTCTCCAATATTTTTCTCCTCTCATTCGCCATAACTTCATATCCTGCACAAAAGAAATTCTACAAACAATAAAATCATGAACACGTTGGAATTCCTCTTGAAGCTCTAGCCTTTAATTACGTCAGGTTCGGGATTTTCACGTAGTGAAACATCTCTGGACGTGGGTCGCCGTAATAACCGCCGCCGTTAGCTTCTGGAGGACAAAAAGCAAGTGAAGCCGGCCCTGCAACTCGTAATGATCGAAACGAAAGTGGGTCTCAAACGGTTCTTGAAATCTCACGGATGAGTCGTGCGCGCGCGTTGAGCCTGCAGCTTCAGCTTCAGCTCACGCTCCAGCTC